ATAGAGTCGTCGAGATAAATTTCAAAATGTTCTGGGACAATGACAAATAGTAAGAGAAAAGTGAGTAGAAACAGTACAGAAAAATTTATCCGAACTACAGAAAAAAAGGACGAAAATTAGTATGAAACCTCAACTGACGAACGGGAAATCGATCTAACTGTCCTGCAATGGTGAACAACTAACATCTACAGCAGCGCAATAGCATCAATGAGCTCATCATAAAAACCTATCCTAAATCAGTGAAATGGGCAAGGGATATAATTTAAATGGTAAAATATTATCATGAACTACTGATGTAACTAAACCAGCAGGAGGAGATACGAACCCATCCCATTCTTCAAACTCAAGAAAATGACAAATGGTTGTAAACTAGAAAAAGAATTCCAATATCCGCGGGAGAAAAAGAAACTTACACTTAGTCCTATATGTTGAGGCATCTGCTGGTACACCTGCATCAGTTTTTCTAGTAGTAAAGGTAGTAGGAGAAGTAGTTGCAGTAATGGTAGTAGTATTAGTATCAGTAGTAGCAGTAATGGTAGTAGTAGTGGTAGTAGTAGTAGTCGTAGTAGTAGTTGTAGTAGTCGTAGTAGTAGTAGTAGTAGTAGCAGTAGTAGACTTGTCACTCAATTCTCTATCCATTGAAGACCTTTGCGGTTGGACGGATCCGCCGCTGCTGCCCCCGCCACCAGCAGCTATTCGATAATCCGGAACGCTACCTGTGGTATCACTTGATGTATCTACGGTATTCGAATAAGACGATTCACCGTTACTATCACTATCAGCAATCGGTCCGACTGGTCGTCCTGGACCGCTCGGTATCGAGGTTGTATCGTTAGACAAGACATCAGCGGGAGAGTTTCCGCTTGCGTGATCACCATCACACATACTACTTGCGCTACTCGACTCGTTGTTTTCGTTCACACTGGGCGGAGAGCTGCTACCAGCTGCCACCTCGAGCGTCACTTGATTCGCCATTAGAGTTTTCCGTTTATTTTTTCAAAACTTTAAATCCTGTATTTACAACTCATACAGTACAACAACATATATTTCCTACAGCCGTCGAACCTGCCGAACGTTATGTCGCCTATCAACATACAACAATATAACAATACACGTAGCTTTAGCTTTATATTTCTTTATAAATATAAAGATAGTTAATTTCGGTTCGAATCTTCCGATACTTTTGCCTGAAAGCCTAAGACGTCTCAGTATTTTTCAAAATAACAAAGAGCTAAAAACACAAAAAGAGAAGAAAAAAAAAACAGTATGTGAATACAAGTACTTATTATCCATTTTCACTCGTCCTTTTATCCTTTCCTTATAGAACTTATAAACTTACTTGAAAAATCTATATAATGACAAATTCATTGCCATTTCTTCCACTCTCTCTCCCTCTAAATTGTAAAAAATCCTTTCCCTTTCGCAATTCACTTCAGCAAATCCGACTGTCTACCCGGCAATCAAGAAAATTCAATATATCAATCCATTAGAAGAATCAATACCATCTCTACCGTCCCTTCATCTCCACCTTTCACTTACCATTATCAATCTCATCAGACTGAAATATTTGCCAGAATCTAATATCTACTTGATATGCTTCATGTATGATACTATCCTATCCATAATCCCATCTCCCAAGCTCTCTCCCTTCTTCACCTTCACTCTTCTCACAACCCAACTTCAAAATGTATTAATCTACCGACGGTAAATTGCTGATCAGTTCGCCGTTGTTCAGCCACAAACAAACATACAAACCAAGACGCCACGAAGATATACGCCGCTGCAGCGTTAGACAATAATCATTCCAACTTTCCCATATTCTACTATCCCTCCCCTTTTACTACGGTAGTCCGCTAAACTGAACATTATATTTCTTTTCTCAGAAAGTTTGGGAAAAAGAAAATTCAAACTCCTGCTTTTCCAGGAAAAAAAAACTTCAGATTTGCTATGAAGATGTCTAAGTCTCAAATGAAGGAAAGGAAAATGGCAAAACATCGTGCATTTAAACGTATAGATGACGTGTAAACCATGAGCCCTACCCGTTATTACTACATCATTCCGCACAAAGTCTATCATTCAGATCATCTGGAATTCCATCCTCCAATTGACTGCGATGAAAAATGAATGAAACAAACACGCGGAAGAAAGCAAGAGCCTGAAAACGGAAACCCTAAACTGCATAATCAAATCCCGTCACAACTATTATTGTACAAATCGATAAATCGATCAAACGCACAGCGGGAATAACATCAACCCAAGACAACATCATCTATTTTGCAGCACCATTCTCTTACGTATTTCTCCTATTTTTCTCGACCTATTGTTAGATCACAATGACTTCATCAACCTATGAAATTTTCTCCTCCCCACACTTCTTTGGGTTGCCTGGGAAACTCGGTCTACCATGACATTTTGTAACGAGCTTGTGCGAAATTTCGAAACCGAAAGCAATAAGTTATGATTATCTTCCATCTCCGTTGATATAATTGTTACATATATTTTTTATTTCATCATCTGGTGAAATTTTTTCCTTTCTATACATTCTTCAATTATCTGGGAGGTTCCGGTATATGTGGTATGATTATCATGTTTACATTGGATTTTCTCGGTATTTCAAGACTATGTTAACCGAGAAGATTAACCATTCGGTGTTGAAAAAGGTGAGAAATATATGTAGGAAGTGAACATCTTTATTACCGAAGTGGTATATTTTTCGGATTGTAAATTATCCGAATTTATTTCCAAAATGAGTAGAAGCGCAGCGTTCAGTTCGGGTTGACGTATATCGTAATATCATGGAGACTGGAGACCTTTCTGTTATTGTGAGGCGCGCTGAATTTCAATCAAATTATATTAAGTAAATCCGTTTCGATGTCCTCATATGTACGCACTAATGCTTGCTACTAAAATTGTTTGTCGTAGCAAAATTCTTGACGATTCCAGAGTTGTTAATGATCAGTGATGCGGGACCCCATTGATTGCTCGTCACTATTATATTGAAAATAATGTCCGTTGGACAAGTGTTTCACTTCTCCGGCGGATAAATATTGTACAGTCTCACTCATTCATTTCTTCACTTCATATATCTTCCCTGTTTTCTGCTTGCTTCGGTTGCACTGTAAGGTACCCAACTCAGCCATAAGGAAAAACGGTAAATATTCCTCTTCATTCAGAGTGAAAATCCGGTGAGATGTTTCAAGTCACACTTCCCGTTTCATTTGAAGCACCTTTTTAGATTATTTTGGGTATCAGACACCACTTATACTGGTTTTAGGAATCTCTGTTCCATACTCAGTAAGTTTTTACTGCTGAACTGAGTCCATCTCAAATCAGCACAAATCTAATTGTAATGAACTATAGATTGTCCACTTCTTTCCTTTTACAATATTAAAACTTCTCGGTATTCATACCGACTGATCTCGATTACGGAACTTGAAAAAGGAACACATTGTATTTCATACTTCTTCAACCATGCAGCACCCATCTCTTAAAATGATTTAATATTCATTGGGTGTGTCACTATATTCTTTTAAGAATACGATAGTCACTTTATTTCTGAACTTAACTTAATAGTGATGGTAACTTTCATAGCGGTAGTTTGCTGTGGTCCAGTCTAAAATTCAAAATCTTTATAGGTGATGGTTACATAAAACATCATATTACCTTCCTATGAGATCATTTTGCAATCCCTTCGATTTCCGATTAATCAAATAACGTTACCTCCCTGATACAATTGAGGTTATTTTCAAAAAATCATTATAAATTCTCAAAAATATTTGAAAAAGTGTTCAGTGCCGCATGCCGAATTTGAACCATTCATCACCATTAATGCGCATGGTAAGTAATAACACAAGTGAAAGATATGGGAATAAATAAAACACAAACGTACAAAAAAAAATCACCGAAGGAGCACACCTGAGATTAACTGACAGAGCAATTGACAATTCAAAACCATTTAGCTCCAACTGAAACTAGTAAGTTGCCATGAATGCAATGGGGAATACAATCCCAAAACATGTCACATTTCATGGATTTGCACTTATTTACATATCAAGCCAACGAGTGCTCGAAAATGCTTGGGCAAACTGATATGTTACAAATATACATAAAGCAAATGAAAACATCTTCGGAATCGCTGCTCTCTAACACTTTCAACATTTCCATGTCTCATGGAACTAATCGTTTCGTTCCACCAAGCAATTTTTTAATTAATTTAGATCTGAGATTTCATACTTTCCCCTGCCCACTACTTGGTCTTTCTAAACTATGAATAAACATTCTCCTCAACTCTCTAATATCTATCGATATGCAATGGGAAATTTCCAGCAATGAAAAAGTCGTTTCATAGAGGAAAACTAGACCTACACATAGAACTTCCATCTATATTACCGAGCTGCAAACACGAAAATGAAAATACGGTATAATACCTGTTTTCCTCTCTACTTTACACAAATAAATTACAAAAAATTCCGGATTTCATTAAATTGGAAACACGCAACAGCCAAAGAACGACGGTTATTTCCCGCTATAACAATCCAGTAGCCGATGTTGTACTCAAGCCGTGGTGACCTTTATCAGTGCTTAGAAGATCTTACCCGTTGAATGGATTGGTCATTTCCTGCAGTTACTAGCGCTATGGTAACAATCCATGGAAAGATTTAGAAAACTGCCCAAAATAAACCTTGAGAGGAGGTAAGAAAATGAAGGCAGGAAACGACAACAGAGGGGAAAGGACATAAAATAAGGAGGTAGAGAAAGCGCCTACAAATCTGCGCTCTATTTAGTTACTATCATTACAATCAACACCAACTCCAACATAAAATATAACTATAGAAGTAATGGACCAGTCCAAATGATCCGTGCAAAGCTAACATCTATGAGCGTTACTGAAATCTTTCCTCGAATTCTGAAGTTTTCATCCTTTATTCGAGGATTTACAATTGGTTTCTTTTGATTGGAAAATTGAATATACTTCCTTAATCTCCAAAAAAGATGCGATATCAACAAGCATTCATCTCAATCCTTCGCCATAGATCTGCATACTCATTTACAACCTGAAGACGTTACTGGTGAAAATCAACTGTCAAAACTAAGCTGTAACGATAACGACCAGAAATTAAATGTTTAATGACTTACTGAACGCAACCACACCACATCGTTCATACAAGTCTCCACTACGAACTCCGACGAAATATCCGCATTCCCAGCACTAACTTTCTCCAACTGCAGAAAATAATAGAAGATAAGTTTATGTAAAATATGAGTTATGCGTAATTGATAAGCATTGTTATAATTTTTATATTCTAACCTTATCTTCACAGTTTTTCAGAAGCATATAACGCATGTGATGTAATTTGTGATACATTCCTGACAGTTTTGCACAAGGCGAACAAACCAGGTATTCCTAAAAGGAAGCTTTAAAGTATTAATGAAATTACAACATAACAGTATGGAAAATAAAGCATACTTCTAATAATGATCATATTTAGAGGATAATGAGAGAAACCCTAATCATATTCTTACCACCGCATGTAGTGGAGATCCAGATCCTGTATAACACACTTCTTCAGCCTCCAGAGTATCATAATCGTAACCTTCGTTACAAAACAACTGCATAATCTTCTCAACACCGGAAATGCCACAAGCCTAAAACAGATATCTGAAAATGATCAAAGACTTGTTCTAAACAGTTTCTCTTTACAGTAGTAAGCGAACTCCTTACAACCAGGTTTATTTTGAGAAAACAGTTATTGACTCCATTTAATGAAATAAAACAGAGTTATGCTTGAAATAGTTTTTCCAATGAACTGACTAATCTGTGACATTCAAGACTTGTGAGTGGAAAAATTAGAGCGCATCGGTTGATTTTTATGATAAAAAGAGAACTGAAAAATCTGAAGTTAGATTACCTGACAACTTAAGCCACTGCCTTCCGAGTCGCATACTACGCATGAGGAATAAAAATGGAGCAAATCTAAGTATCGTTGAATCCATTTCACCCGCAATTGCACTTTCTCCTTTCGTTCCTGGTTTAATTTGTCGATGCCGTTTAAAGCACATAAATAATTCCAGTCTGTAATTCGATATAATAAAAGGGAAATAATAAACTGGTCCATTAATTGACAACATCTGCTGCTAATAAAAACAATTCTAGAAAAATTATCCAAATTAATAGGAAAAAACGAATTAAAAAAAAAAACATACGTATTCCTTTCTTCTTTTACATTAACAGCGCTCTCGTGCAACTCTATTACCTTATCTACTATTTATTTATCACACAAATAATGCATTTGTCAAGTTGTTCATGCAGAATAGCATATATAAAACTTCCTTACCGCTCTTCTGTCTTACTGTTTGGAGGAATGTCATATCAAGCGCATGATTAAGCATCGCTTTTACATATACAGTCATCTGTTTTCGGATTGGATCGTCTGCGAAAAGATCTTTCTGTTCCAGTGCAATTCCTGCGTTGGCTGAAATGTTTTTGCAAAAAGTGCAACCCCACAATCTTCTGGCATTTTTATCTTCACTACTAATTATAAAAAGCGTATATAATTAATAGTGAAGATAATGTCAGAGAAAGAGGAAACATAATGTAAAGCTATATAAAAATAATATAAAAATATAACAAATTTTTCCCCATAAAAATGAAAAATGACTGTTGATGGTTGCGCATGCTGTGAAACTTTGCGTGTGTTGTGAAACATACTATCAAATAGATTAAAAAGCTTGGAGATAGACCTATGAAGATAATTACGACATGGTAATGTGGGATGTGTTACAACTACCATAAAAGAATGACGATCTTATGAAAGTAAACTGTTTGAAACACAACTGAAGATTACCTGACGGACGCTCTTCATATTCGATACTGATTGCTGGAAACATGTCTAATAACGGCATTTCTGGCTCTACTATGGACTCCGAACGACTGTGTTTTATGAAACGTACCCGTACAACAATATAGCTATCAGCAATCTGATCACACCAACCAGAATACTGGAACAGATTTTGTTATATAGGGTGTTTTCGGAGTTGGTCTTTAAAATGAACTTTTAAAATTGAAAAAAGATTTTGTGCGAATTTCAGAATAATAATAGCAGTGCAAAAAAAGCACTGCAGTAATTGCTTTTGAAAACTGTAAATTTTCAGAGGTTTGCAAACCGTTGAACTGTTCCTGTAAGCTATTTTGCCATCACGATTGAAAGGCGGATATTTCTGCAGTAAGTTCTGATTATCAACTCTCCAGAGAGGACAATCTTCTTTCAAGATATCAGCTTTACAGACTACAAATGTCCCTTTCTGGAAAAAAATGAATGATAAACTATAATGAAAATTAGCAACTGTTGAGTTAAATGTGATACAAATAAGTTATTACTAAAACAAATATGTGCCCGCAATACTAACGTATATCACCTTTAAGTACAATGAGATAGCTAACAAGTAACACGAAGTTGAAATTCAAATGTATGAACAGCAATGTATAAAAAAAAAGAGAGTGCTCACTGCTAAATGTCCATCTACCGGATGAAACTTCGACAAAACGTTGTGCTCTGATGAATTCGGACGTGCATTGTGTCCCTCATTATTTTCAAACGAAACAGAAGAGTTTCGGTCCCGGCAGTACTCTACAATAATGATACAATTACTAGAGACATTCAATAGCGATATTAACAAGATAGTGACGACAATATCAATAACAGTAAATATCTCTCTGCTCTCATTAGATGCATTCTTTTTATTATCTTACAACTTAAAGTTTTCGTAGATAAGGCTCAATGTTAAGAGTTACACTCTATTCAAGTAGAACACGGCAAACCTGAATCCAAACGATTTCCCTCTCTCTCATTCCAGTGCATTATGAGGCGTCGCTTCTTACTGAAAACAGTCGTTTCTTTGTTTGCATTCTCAGATGTGTTCCATTGTTCATGCTTGTTCGTAAGTTCTTCCTCGTAACTTAAAAAACTGCTACTAGTTATAAAACAATAAAAAATGATCACTCCAAAAAATGAATTCCTATGCATGAATGACCACCACTCCGAAAGACTTTCATAAATTTGCCAAAATCATTACAATGATCAGGTGATAGTGTGCCGTGTATGCTTCAAGTGAATGCTACACTTGCTTCAGCATAAAAACCTTATCATATATATAAACCGTCTAATTATGTCAATAATGATAAAATACTTTAACTTACTCTGATGTATGTCTTCTCTTTTTCTTGTGATGTTTATGTTTACGTTTCTTCTTCTTTTTCCCTTTTGACTCGGGACCTACCCATTCATAATCACTGTCTCTTTTCTTTCGCTTTTTTTTCTTCTTCTTTGGTTTCTCATATTCTACGACATTCTCGTCGACTGATCTTCGAGGCAATCTGATCAACAATTTCGGAAGAGGTTGCTCTGACTGCGCCCTAGAAAAAAGCAATGCTTAACCCCAAATGAATCCAAAAACATAACATATCATGCCATACGTCGAAAATATGTGATGTTATTAACTCATCAAAGATATTTTCGTAAAACATTATAACATGGCAGAAAGAGGGAAAAGTGGAGTTGGACAAAAAGAGTGAAATGAAGCCACAATGCTGGAACTGACAATCAAGAAATCCCGAACTTTAAATTTTAAGAAAATTACTTGAGAACCGAAAAATACCCGGGTCATTTATATCTTGATTCAAATTGAATTTCGTATTAAAACATATCTAAATGAAGAAACAAACCCATTTTCGGTATCGCAATCGATTTTCGGCTCCATTCTAATCGTAATTACTGATGGCCCTGTTTGGTGCTCACTTTTGGCAGTTTCTTTATCGCCAAGAGATTTTGTCTTTAAGAAGCCAAACGATGAGCGATGTTGTTTACGGCGTAACAATAAATCCGCTAGAGTTTGCGGTTCCGCTAACTTTTGACCTGTAAAAGCAATAATGAAAAGCATTGAAGACTTTTATCATAGTTACCTAAAATAAGAAAAAAGCTTACATGACGAATTTTCTGTGCGATGTTCAACGACGGAAGCGGGTGGCAATAAAGGAGTTGAAGGCACGGATGGTCTCTCTGATGCAGCTGAATGTCGCTTTTTAGGTACGACATGCCTCCACAAATCCTGAAATTCAGCACTGAAAATGCAACTGTAGATATGGAAACTCACTCTCCTCCTCAAACTATGTCATAACTGCGCAAAATCATAAAAACAAACATAAGAAAAAACAATAACAAGAGTTCAACTTCAGAAGAACATCTACATCATTGTACCTGCTGATACTGTGGTTCATCACCTCCAATTTTTGTTTTAAGCTCTGGATGGGCACTGTTTATTCGTGCGAGTCTTTGTGCAACTTCTGCTTCCAGTCTTTGCTCTCGCAGCTGTGTCTCAGACACGGTTGCACCAGATGGTAGTGGTTTACTTTCCTCTTCATCATCCTTGAAACTATATGCGTCGTCGGGAGCTAGAATTACTGCTTGTTAAATAGAAGAAAGTTTGCCGAATGAAAAAATTCCCCTAAGCATATATTGTGGAAGCTTTTGAATCTTTTCAGTCTTCCCTTTTAGATCAAAAATCAATGAAAATTCTCATATCAAATTTCTAAAAGTTCTCTCTCTGTAAGCTTTCCGTATCAAACGGTATTTTGAAAATGATAAATGCAATGATAATCAATTCGAAACAACGCAAATTCTATTTCTGTGAAATTTTATAGCTTTATAGCCATTACTGAACATTGCTTTACGGATAATTCACCGTAAACACCAAAGCCAATAATCAAGGATACATGGAACAGAGGACACTGTTTAAACTAATTTTTCAGAACTATATTGTTTTTGACCATTTCATAGATTATACAAAACTACAAGTGCCAGTTTATTATCAAGAATGAGAAATGATTTTGGTCTTCACAACTTGACTGTAAATCCTAGTTCAATTATTAATGTAGATGATTGATTTGCACTTAATAACATAGTAATTTCTCCTAATTGTGTCACTAAGCTTAAATTTCTATCATACTGTCTTCGCTGTAGTAAGTGATGATCCTCAAAAATCCCTGCATTATAAATTGGTTTACCGTGTTCCTCAGCCTTGAGTACGGATTGCAAGAATGTTTTTGCCTTCTGTTTATACACAGGAACTTTGTTTGATTTGTTTTTCTTTTCCGTTGATGGCATGAATAAAAAACGTGTATTTGCTGAAGGGACTTCGCTACGTGTGGATCGTGGACGGAGAGCAGCAGTACTGGTGGAGGTACCGGATGAAGGAAAGAAGAAATTGCATAATGCTGATGAAACACCACCGGAGGTGGATGCTGTGGGTGAATCTGGAGGCGTGAACTACAAATAAATAATCTTTGTAAATAACATACTAAGAAGATATGAAATCTTTGAAAGTAATGATTTAGACGCCAACGAAAAACGTTTACCTGAACAGGACTGAGGCTGATTTTGTGATCATCAGAATTATCTGCTTTCGTCACAAGTACTGGGTCATGTCCCTGAAGCGGCTTTGAAACCTTAGATACAGGTGTTGATATGGCATCTTTCTTGGCAACAAGTGAAAGAAGTCTATCCAACTCCTTATCTGCATCGGCTAGTTCCTTTTCTCTTTTTAGTTTAATTTTTTCTCGAATTTTCGGTGTTACAAGTTGCGAGACGCTGAAATTTTGAAATCTGTGTTAAAATTCAGTTTCAGTAACTGTCATTTCAAAGACGACTTAATTTCTGCGGCTCTACATTAGGAACCATCCAACTAATCTTTTATATTAATCAGCCATTCTTTTTCTCACTTTATTTCCGCTACAGGTAAAATATGCTGTCGGCATAAATGTGGTGTAACTTTCGTATTTTTTCTACCTAGTGCCAAACATTTATATCTTTCAAAATAATACAGTTTCCAGTTATGTAATTGTGGGATAGCTTATAAATCATCAAATATTACAACGACGAAAATTCTTAACACTTACTTTATCGGCAGTTTATTTGTACCACACGTTGTGGATGGCTCGTTTAGGAAGAGTCGATGCACCACAGTTGGATCCATTTCATCCAGAACGGAGTGCATGACATCTTTTTCAGCAACAGATGACCCGCTAAACAAATCAATGTCGGCAAGATCTATGCTGGACCATGGCAAATCTTCCAAATTATTATTGTCTGCGCCATTTTCATGGGGTGTGCTCTGTAAAACATAAGTGAAGCACTAGAAATTTGGAGAAGTACCTTAAAATTTTATTGACGAAAATGTGAGAAAATTATGAGGTGCATTTTGATATTTCAGTCTTAAAATACGACATTCAGTTTTTCTGGCCCAATATTAATTACTTACTGATGTTTGTTGAACTGTTGACGAAGAGCTTTGATTAACTTCAGGAGAGGTTCCAACCGGCGTGTCATTTCGCACGGTAGAAGGTACAGTACGCAGTTCTGTCGGACGATTTGCAGTACCTGAGTCGAACGTCTTCTGCTGTGGAGTTGAATTACGCGAACCGACCGGCATAGCAGCAATCTGTGAAGTAAATGGTATGATGTACAAATTTTGCTCCTTTAAACAATCAATAAGAAATCAAGTCATTATGCAAATTTTCTCGTCATTTTCAAACAATCGATAAAATACCTGTGCAGGAGACTGAGCGCTGGATGAATCATTCCCGCGCGACATGACGTAACCAGAGCTGCTCTGTTGTGAACATGGTCGTATGGCACTTACCGTTTCTGGCATCGGTGCTCTTCCTACGGAACTCGGTAAGTGATCAACCGAACCAACGCTTGAATGATTAGAAACGGAAGAAGGACCCATGGAAGACGTCGAACAAGGTCTCATTTCGGTTGAGCAATGGCTTTGAATGGAATTCGGCTGTCTGTCAATTACAAGCATTGCATTGGCTGGAGAGGATTGTGTCGAACTCATAGTGGCATTCGGTTGTTGACTTCGCTGTTGTGGAGTTGAGGGTTGTGAGCTTAGATTATGCACATTATTATTTTCCACTTTGCAAGGAAAAGTACCTGAAATAATAAAACTTTCGCAGTTATATCAGCTTATAATGCAGTATTCGAATTTTTAAGTTTTATATTAATTAAATTCACATAGTTTTATGTTAATTAAATTCACATGGAACTTGGTTCTGGGTGTGGCTAAATTTTAAATCAAATTAACACCAGCAATATCAAATAAATGTTTACCTGCATTGACCGGCATAGCGGAAGGTGAAATAACAGCGTTGCTAGCTGCAATATTGTTCTCTACTGTGAGCTCAATTTCACCTGGATTAAGAGTTGTTGCATCGCTGAAATAAATTTTATATGAAGCAAATAAGAAATTCAATATTCCATAATGGTTCATTCTGCTGATTTTTTTCTTTGCTCTTGATAAACGCAACAAGTTAATTGCGAAAAAAAGGATCAAATTACTGACATTAAATCCAAAAAAAACGCGGTGGGATTGGCATGCTACTATGTGTCACATACACCTTGATAAAAAGATAAAACTTGCTTTGGTTTTAAAGTTCCAGCAGAGAATACTGTATACATCGGCAAAATGGCGGCAACTTTAGCCTAGAAAATTGTAGAAGCTATGGAAAAAAATCTCAATATTTCTGGAGCGGATCAAAACTTCGAAAAGATTTGTAAAAATGAATGTGTAAGTTTTAATTTCATGACTCAAAATAAAAATTGAATTTCAGGATCGAAGTAACTCAGAAAAGAAATATGTTTGGTGGATATAGTAAAATTGACGGAACAACCACCGAAAACAGAGGACAAAATGGTACGAAACCTGCTCAAGCCAGGTAGTATTTGCATTTGGGGCAGCGGGCCAGCTAACTGCCGCAATATTGTTGAGTTCCGCTGCAAACTGACTACCCAAAGTCAATTGAGAACTGTTTGGTAATAAACCAGCAGCACCCTGCGCCGCTGAAAGTTCTTGGAGGTGATGAAGTGTTGAAGCCAGCAACGGGTTACTAACATTTCCAGCGGCTGGTGTTATACCTTAACAATAAGATAAAAAGTGATTGTTTATTTATCTCAGTAATTAATTTGGTTTATATTTCCCCACAGTTAAATGATTTTTTTGTGTAGCAAAGAAATCCCAAAAAAAGCGAATGGCACATTATTAAGTAAAAAGTTTCTTAATTGTGAATTCCTTAATCCTAATGTATTGTTAATGATGTTTTATGCATGCATTTTATACTTCTAGAAACTCATGAAGAAATATGATGTGTGTTCTTTTCCTTGAAAATGTATATTTTGTTTCTGTGAGAAGTTTTAGCAACAACGTTTTTCAAAATACCTTATGAAATTTTTTTCTTTTTACTTAACAAACTATGCTGTACTTAGAAGTATAGGTCGTAAGACTTAAGAAGAAAGAGAACAATAGACTCGAAACCTATGATCCTAAAAACATCCATTCGAATCCAGGTTAAAGTTACTGGAAAATCATAAGTTCGATCTATTTAATGCAAAAAAAAAGTCATGCCTGAAAAAGTGGATGCAAAGGACGGATTGGTAAATCCAGGCGGTAAAAGCGGATGAGATGACGTATTCTGTTGTTCCATTCATGCACACCTCTTCGAACACCCGGAAAATAACTCCAACATATCCGGGAACACTTGTATAACAAATAGCAATACCCGTTCACGAAATGGACAAAGTCTCTGAAACATATAAGTTTTATTCATTGGTATTTACGTGCTTCCCTCCATCGTCTTAGTATTTAAACGTTACAATACAAAAAAGTTTTTAAAAGTGAGATGAAATTTGTGCGCAACTTAGCTTGTAAGATATCCCAGAATCATATCCATTTTATTCGTAACTGTTCTTATTCCACTATTCAGTAAAAGAATACTTGCGTCAAAACAAAGAAAATTCATTACAAAAGAAACAAAAAACGAAAACAGAAAACTGGAAGTAATTCTTCCAAATGTTATATACTGCTGTATACTTCGCCAAATACTTCCTTTTAAAGCTGTTGCATTTTGTAAATTCATTATCTAAATCCAAGTTCCACCATTAAAATGGAGAAGCCGATATAATAAAGCCGACTGTACATTTTCCACGAATTCCCACTTGAAAGAATACTAAGAAAAAAAAGCATCAACATGAAATGTGAGCAAAAACTAGACCACCAACAAGTAGAACACGATTTGATGAACATATGAAGACAAGCAACAAGTTCATAACCTTATTACGGATGTTATTGTTCCCATATGCAATTTTAGGTATCTTCCTTGAAGTCGCTAAATAAATCTTCGGGATTAAACGAAAGATCGCTGATGAAAGATGAGACAAAGGACTATAAAAAGGCCAAAAATGATGGAACTTGGACGGATAGTTGGGAAACTTATTACCGACAATAATTAAATATATTAGCCTGATAAGTATCAGAATATAAAATTCTTCAAGCAAACAGATATGATGCGATTTTCAATATAACCTACTGAGAATGAACCACTAGTGAATAATTTTGGAACATAAAATGAAATAAAAAAAAAAGGGTAAGAAATCATTCAAACATACAACTATATCATTTAATTAATTAATTTAGTCATCGATCCTTTGATTGTTGTCAGATCAGAAGACGAAAAAGAAGTAGGTAATTCCTGCCTTTTTTTTTCCTTTTCCTAGGCATTCAGTGACTTTAAACAGAGAGATCAAAATTCTCTTTGACTGACAGACTGATTAATATCATCTCATATGAATAACCTTATAAAAGTTGAGGGAGAAAGAGAAGAAGGTAAAAATAGGTACAGAAAATGAGACCTATTCATTGTTGTTACAGCAAAATTTAAACTGTTCATTATCTATCTTTCGCTACGATACTGTTTGATTGAATACAAAGGTAAAATGATCGAAATGACAACGAAAAGAATGAAAAGAAAGAAATGAAACGTTGTACGAACAAAGTTATCATTATTTGTATGGAAAACATGTTGCTTCATGTACTGATGTTTGCCTTATTTGGTCAACAAAATGCAATGTTTGATTTCTTTATGAGATCTTATAAGTGATTGTAAGTTAATTTGTTGGGTATTTCCTATAGCAATAGGCGAATAACATCACGATATTATTGTTCGAGTAAAACAAACCTTTCCCTTCGTTTACCCTGAATGATTCCAAACAAAAAAAAAAAGACAAGTCCCCGAGAAAATGGGATGTCCCCGACGGATCAGTGCCCATTCGCAGAACAACAAAGAGCATTCCCTCCCCCTCCCTCCCTCTCTTCCCCCTCTCATCTCCTACCTGCCGCGGCACGCAAGCCTCGTCGCTCGCGTCCATCCCCCTCCCCTCTCTGTCCCTCTCTGTTCTCGTACTCTTTTGTGGATTCTTTCGTTGCTTCTCCACGATTTATATTCGTAAAATCAATATCCCATGTTGGCGTATATATGTTAGTTGTTTGATATGGGGGAAAGTGATGTGTTACGGTTTAGGAAGATAACACGTACGTATAAAATATAACTTTCGTACTAAGATATTTGCGTGGGAAATATATTAGACTTTTGTTGATACCGGCTTGTTTCATGTTAGCTTCGCTTATGCATTAAGTCATGGAATGGTATACGACCATATCTGTGTATGACATCATTTGGAAATTGTTGTGACACACAGATAAATCACCGATTCAAGGTATTCTTGTGCTCTTATTTGACCCCATGATCAGTGACACATTTCTTATTTACTCAGCAATAAAACTCAATCGAGTGATACGAGACAGACAGAAAGTAAACGCACTTATTTTGCATTTCTTCATTCGCTGCATCTGCTGTTATACAGTGAGCGTACACCGCATGATATCAGTTGCAGATAAATCAATCACAGATGAACGCTATACTGCAACTGTCATCATTGCAAGTGCATGATGCAAGCTCATTATTTGCAAAAAAAGAAACAAAATAATTATTTTTCGTCATTTAATTTCAAAGGGATGTACTGTAATACAGTTCTAATCATTCTAGATCAAAAATTGAAATTTAAATGTTATGTTTTTTCCTTTAGATTGAATTTTGATATTATTAACGTTGTTCAATATTCATGTTCCGCAATGTGTCAAAAAATATCAACGATTGGATCAAATCTTGCGATGCAGTTTTTCTTGACTTTTCCTGAATCACAATAGCGGAACTTTGGATAAATACTTTGAACTGTTTTTGTGCAAAAAGTATTTCAGTAGAAGGAAGGGTTTAACAGAAGTATATCAGTAGTACTGTTATGAAAAGATCTGTATGATCTGTATTCAGGTGGATTGCATTTCAGGTTTGAAATTCGCAACCATTGTTGACTGAAGGTTACGACGATATTTTGTCGTTTTCAAAAATAAGAATTGACGACAAACTTTTTACTGTTAGGATTTTTCAATAGCTTGACGAAGAAACTACGGCTTTTTTAAATTCTATTTTAGATTATTCAGGAAAAACAAGATAAACGATGTTTGATAATGGGCATAATATTGTAGGGATAATTTTCCAAGGTCAGATGTGATAACTGAAAATTTCCCAAAAGTTGTTTACATGTTGTAGCATATTTAAAGTTTTGCAAGGTTTGAAATTCCGAACTTATTTTCAGTTCCCCGAAAATCACCTGTTTTGATGGGGAAAAATTCCGAAATTTGGTGAATTCACTGGTTGAGAGATCCAGATATCTCCATTAGCATACATTAGTAGTATTGATATATAGCGGCAATAATTATACGCTGTAATATTAATAAACAGTGTTTTTTTCCTACCAATTAATTCTAAATTTGAGGATGGCAGCGGATGCAATAAGATATTAAAAATTATCAAGTTTTAAAGTTTTTGAAATTTCAATGTAAACTTTCAGTGGTTTTTTTAATACGAGGATTAAAGACTTCTAACGAAGAACGGTGCGTAATTATTTATTTGTTCATCTGTTAAACAAACGTCTATATTTTTACTGTATTCAGGAATTTTTAAACAACTTCATTAGTAAACTTTCTGGAATTTTATTAACTAAAAAATGTGAGAATGAAGTATTAAAATTATAGATGATAATGCGCAATGGTAGATAATTTCACGTGAGTGGCGCAATACTTTTAATTTATTACATATTTCAAAACATAATTATAACTTAATCTGTTTTTATTTGAAAGAAAAAAAAAGGAGTAAATAAATATTTGAGAGGAACAATTACATATTTTATTCGATTGCCTTTATGGCTAAGTAAAACTCTGTACTGTCAATAATCTGATTCTACCATTAAGTATAACTTTTCATCGTTAAAGCTTTGATTTTGCATTGTGATAAAGTGGTGATAGTAATACAAGCACCCAGAAGTGTTTTTTCTCGTTTATGAATCTTGCGATATAGATTTCATGACGATATTTAACTATTACATGCAATATCAACTTTTACAATTTATTTAAACTTTCCAAAAATATTAGCGCTATACTTCCAATCATCAAACAATTGCACTCAAATATTTCGTCATGCAAACGTCTTTTATATCACTTGAAATTTTGGAATATGGAATGCAAGATGTTTGAATATGATAAATTACTGGAAATTTATTCGTTACAATGACAAGGATATCTTTTATGATACATGATACATGTTTAATGATGATACATTGACAGAGAATAACAAGAAAGAACGATGGAGGATAAAAATGAAGAAAAATAGTGATAATGGGAAATACAAACATCCTAAAGTCAACTAATTGGAAAATTCATCAAAGATTATTTTTAAATTTAAAAAGTTGAGGAGAAGTCTTTTTTCCAATATTTTCGGCAATATCAATTAATTCGTCATTTCGTCACGGATGATAAAAATTAATTTTCGTTTAAAAATGAATTCATATATAAAGAATGGTATATTAATGTGATTATTGATATAATACTTGAAGTGAACTTTATAATTGAACTTTTACATAATTCAACGAACTTCTATGTTAATGGTAATAATATTAGTAATAGTAATAATAGATGAAATTTTGCTTCACCTTATTAAATTTTAGTGAAATGATTTGAGGTGTTGGATCCATTTTACTAGTAATTGTTATTTCGAGATTATTTCACATGAAAAGTACATGACAACGTGTCTCATGAAATCATCCTCTCAATTACTCAAATTCGTATTTTCGGAAGTACGTTTCATTTATTGACGAATTTCGTTTTGTTTATCCATTATCTATTAGGTTATACTTAACCGTAATTATAATCCATTCTATGATAACACTTATTATCTTTCTTTCTTCACTTTTTTCTCTTTGATTTTTCAAAATTTTAAATGTATTTAACTGTTACGTAAATTAATCAAAATGAATTTCATCCAATTACTATAATTGCAATGATTACTGCAATTGCTACTACAACTACTACAACGACGTACTTAATTGATGTGTCGTAAATTACATATTCTAACTGATATTCAAAATAAATTTCATCCAACTACTATTATTGCAATAAATACTGCAATTGCTACTACAACTACTACTACAATTATAATAACTATTATAACTACAACAACAACAGCAATTACTGCTACTACAACAACTATTACTATTGTTGCTGCTATTGTTTCATATCCGTTTGTTTAACTAATAAAAAATGAAAAAAAATAAACTTTTTTTTTTTAATGCTCTTTGTTGCGTAAATTTTCGAATCAGCAAAATAGTACAAGGTGATTAATAAATTTGGTTGTTTGTTGCTATGACAACACATTTCTCTTTAAATTTATGACATTTGATAAATTGCTACATTCTTGTGATAAGGCTAAATTTTATTTATCATATGTAATAATTTAATTCTTTCTTCTACGTCTTTTCTTTCTACCTGTTATTTAAATCATAAATGCATTCAGATCTGTTTTTGCAACTTTATTCTATCGTTCAGTTGAAATCAGTTCTCTTTCTTCCCCATTTTAATTCGATTAAATTTGCAACCTAATTTATTACGATTATTTCTGAAAACAAAACTATAAGAAAGGTTGAATTATCATTGTTCAATACTAATTATCCCCCATTTATTCTTTTTCATTTCTATCAAAGTTATCTGATCATTTGGTAATAATGCATTTATTAATGTTATGAAAATTATTGAACGACTGATATGATTATCATACTGGAGCTAATGAGAAAAAAAATATCGGATTATAAATCCGAATTTAGTACAGTAGATAGTATATAGATTATTGATTGTTTTATGTTTAAGCTTACCGAGATATATCAACTTTTTCTTTTTCGGAAATGTGTAAATGTTATTGAAATTAAATTGAAGAATGTGACAAATGAATTATTCTCTAGTTATCTCTAGTTATTAACTTATTGTAGCCTATTATTATAAACTTGTTATAGCCTACTCTTATCTTCAGTATCGTATTTTCGCTTGTTAGAAGAGCACTTTAATCAAATTAAAATTCCACATTATATAGTAATATTCCAAAGATTGTACATCGACGGAAAATTTTACGGATTTCAATTTTTTTCAATTTCCAATTTTTTTCAATTCCAATTCTAATTCCAGTCCTCCTATTCCAATTTTTAATTTTATTGCAAGAATAAAATTATAATTACTACATTTGTTGTATTCGTGGTAACAGAATTGTGCCATATATTTGCTGCATTGTTATTTCAACATTTGTTAATTTTGCGAAGTAAAAATTTGTTCTTTATTTTAGAGAGAAAATATGTGTACTATAAACTACTACAATAACAATACCTTTTAAATGAATTGTATTACAGGTAATAAAATATCAGATAATGATTTAAACAATTTATACTGATTTATAAAATATGCAATAAAATATCATGATAAATAATCTAAGATAATAAGAATTTCTCATATATATACATTTTATATGAGTACCATATCATAACAAGTGAATTACGTTAGAAAAGTAGCGGAAATTTTCGATTACCATAGTAAAAAATAAAACCGATCAAACGTAAATTTTGAAATTTCGATTATTTTGAAATTTGAAGCTAAGCTTAACATTTCTGCTTTATCCTTAATTAATGATGAAAAATGATATGTTCAATTTTAGAATACTAAAATAGTGATATAAATTTGTTTCAAAATTTATATAATAGCTAAATTTTTTTTATCCCTTTTTACTAATCCAAAATGATTCGTTCGTTTTCTCTCATATCCACACATATATTTTCAATGTAGTGCCAGCTGATCAGCCATTCAACAATTTTAAGCAAAATATTATTCCAAAATATTACTGCTTGTTTGTTTAATAATCAAAAATAAAAAACGAAGTTTTTTTTATTTGCTTTTTATTATTGTTATTTAAAGTTTAGAGAAATGTCTAAGTATATCATTAAGATACAAATGCAGAGATATGATAACAGATAACAGTATAATAGATAACAGTATCGATAACAGATAATAGTATAATTGTGAAATTTGTTGAAATAATAATATTCGTAACAAGAAAACGTAAAAAAAGAAAAGACGAAATACGTTGAAGAAATAAAGATGGAGTGAAAAAATAGAAAAAGAATTTTCACAAAAAAGTTGACATAGAAATAATAAAATTTAATTATATAAATTTAATATAATATAAA